GGGCATATCGGCAATTATTGATAAGATAATTGGGATTTCAAATATCCTGTGCAGCAGAGGCGTATATATATATATATATATATATATATATATATATATATATATATATATATATATATATATATATATATATATATATAAAAGCATATATACAGGCTTATTCACACTAACATATGCATATATTTAATAGACATTCATTTAACCCAATAGACATGTCCAAGTCCGATTGTACTGATTAGCATAGTTCCACGGCTTAATCGGACAAGACACTTTGCTTGAAATATCAGTGGATGAGAGCGAGGCAATATTTTCAAACGCAAATGGAAGCAAAGTCTGTTTCGTCGCTTTTATTCAAGAACCAATGTTAGAATATGAGTGCAAGTCAAAAATACTCCGCACTTTCGCCATAACATATATAGATAAGACTGCAGATATTTTAGACTTTCTCTCATAAAATGAAACCAAATTTTTAATTCACTGTTTTAAGTGAGACAAGAAAAGCATTCACATGTTGACTTGTAATAATCGCAACGTGATGGAAATAAAGTTTTAAATTATTTTAAATTTACTCTATTTTCTTCTTGGCAAATTAAATACTAATATACATCAAAAAATTTCGTAACGTTTCGATAAAGAAAGTTGTTAATTTTCAGCATATTTCTTCTTTTTTTTTGTCAAGGCACTTAACTCAATGGTGAATACTAATCATATAAATTGAATACTATAAAGTCAAAATCTAGATAAAAATTTAACTAATAACTACATCAGAGGCTACGGGTATAGTGCTCCAGTTTCACACACAACCCCCCACACAAACTGGCACATATACATAAATAAATACATACATACATCTTACGTAACCAAATCTGCCGTAGTTTCAATATTGATTTTGCTGCAACGTTTAAAAGTGAACATTGAAGTCAATACTTAGAGGCGACAGGCTGTTTCATGCTAAACGCAAACGTCAGGCCATGACATCGCTCTCTCTCTCTCTCTCTATCTATCTATCTATCTATCTCTCTCTCTCTCTCTCTATATATATATATATATATATATATATATATATATATATATATAGATAGATAGATAGATAGATAGATGTCATGGTCCGCGGTGCGATTTTCGCTTTCAGTGGTTCGTATGCACGAGTTTGTCGTTGCTTGGAAATCATTTTCGCTATGTCCGAGTACTGTTTAATTTATTGTAATGTACTTGTCATCTCTGATGATGGCTTATGTAAGCCGAAAGCTTAGATAGGATTAAAAAACATGTATCAATATGATGATTTTCTTTCGTCTTTCAATGGTAGTATTATTAAGCTTATCAGACGATATGAAATGAATTTGCTTAAACAAATAGACAAAACTTGTCAAAATTTTTTAATGAAACATGCATTAGTATATATATATATATATATATATATGAGTAAAAACAAAAGAACTTAACCAACACGCTTAGTTCCCTGAAGGACTTTATCAAGGTAAATGCATTTGCCTAGACAACGTCTCTCAGAGGACGAAACGCGTTGGTTAAGATAAGTTTGCCTTTTCTCTTTTTTCAAGCTGTCCTTTTACAGTTATACTCTATCTTTCATTTTTTACAAACACACATATATATATTCTTGATACTAATAATAATATATATAACATGATGGAGCCAAACTTTATCCGAATAATAAATGAACATTGGCTTCAATTCTCAAACGATGTGGAATATATGTGTATTGGTATATGTGCGTGTGTGTGCGTGTGTTTGTCTGCGTGTGTGTGTGTGTGTTTCATTAAATAATATAGACAAGTTTATATTATTTTATGAAACACACGCGCTCCCGCGCGTCTGCGTCTCTATATATCTGCTCATATGTCATATTTTTCAAGTAAAATGCATAAGCAAAACTCTTTTCCTCTGCTCGGTAAATAGGTTATGCGTTTTTTATTTCCTCTGTTCCTCTTGCCTTTAATATGCCCTGTGAGTATCAAATTTTCCAAGCCCTCTTTCCCTAGAAATTACAATCTTCCAGATTTTAAGTATTAACGTCCTTTTTGTTTCTATTTCATTTAAAACATTATGTTCGGTCCATGTTTTTCTCAGCATCCTTCTATAGAACAACATTTCTGTTCCTTCGAGTCTCTTCTCCATCTTTGAGTAGATTGTCTAGCGTTTACTGCCATAGAGGAAGATGCATATTACATATCAGTTCAATACTCTTGTCTTTCTTTCTAACGAAAGTTTTCTGCTTCTTAATTCTTTTCTTAGCTTTTGGGAGGCATCTTTCCCTGTGTCAATGCTCTTTCGGATTTCAGTGTCGTACTTACCGTCCTCTGTTTAAATGTTTTCCAGATATTTAAATTTCTGAATTGTTTAATTTCTGGTATCTCTAATTTATAATGATCCATGCAATATAAATTGAACTGCACCACATATTTGATTTAAAAATAAACTGATCCGACGTGCAAATTTTCGGTATAACAGCTGCGACATTACTCTATTTATTGAACAATTTAGTTCATGCCACATTGACTGAAAAACACCTACAACAAAAAAATTCTCAAATTACCATATTAGTAAAAAAAAACGCACTCTCTTAAATTTTCAAAAAAATTCAACCTTAGCGTTGCGACTGCACGCTCCGAAATTTATTATCCGTAAATAATAACACATTTCTAAAAAAAAAAAAAAAACATATTTCGATTAACATTTAATCTTTTGTGTCCCGCTGCTACATGGATTTACTAAAAAAAAACAAAAACAAAAAAAAACAAATTAATTTTCATGCTTGAGGATGGCTGTAAGTACAGTTGAAAGTACTATCAAACTAAAAAAAGACCTTATACAACTTGAAATTATTAAAAAAAAGGATCATAACATCCATCGAGTGGTTCGACGGTTAATGTAACTTTAATAAATTTGTTTGCGAGGATGTTTTTCGCCATTTATATCATTAACTTTACTAATCTACATTTTGTATGAATGATTCATGTAATATAAATTGAACTGCACCACATATTTGATATATATATATATATATATATGTGTGTGTGTGTGTGTGTGTGTGTGTGTGTGTGTGTGCGTGTGCGTGTGTGTGAAAGATATATATATAAAATAGGAAAGAACTCGTTAGGTAAATAATCCAAAGTTCTTTAGTATTTTTGTTAGTATTTTTTAAAAATAGTGGTTGATACAAAAGTAGAGCATAAATATAATTATTTATTTAAAAATATGATTCCAACTCGTGACATAAGAGGTCTCATGTTTCAGAACAAGAGCCGAAAAACTTCAATATAATTATTTGAATTAAATTGAATTCCCAAAAAATTAAATTGATTCCAAAAAACATTTCGCTGGAACGAGCTTAGTACTTTAATTCAATTTAAGAACTCTTATGTAGCGTGTTGGAATCATATTTTTAAATAAATAATTATATATATATATATATATATATATATATATATTAAACCATGCGTCATTAAATTCATTAAATAATTTAGACAAGTTTTGTCTACTGATTTCTAATAAGATCCTCTCGTAATTACATACAAGTTATTAGTATCCTTATAAAAGGAAAAAAGAAAATGAACATGTTGATGCATGTTCATTTTATTCCGAGTACGTTCGACATTAGCACAAGGTCATCATCAAGGTTTTGTTTTGTTTTTTCTCAAACAAACATTATTGTGTTCATCATTTTTCTTAGACAAAATTGTTGTGCTCTTCTTAAAATTGAATTTTCATTTGTAAAGTGAAAAACGCTAAGATTATGTATTGTACGATTTTTTAATTTTAGGTTGGGAAAACACAACAAATGTCAATGGAGGTAACTAAGTTATTAAAATGTCCTAATAATTTTTGAAAAACTATTTCTTACTTAGAACCTATATATTTTAAACTCTCTACTGTAAACATTTTTAAATATTTGTGCAGTATTTAATGGGGCATTTCTTATTGAAAAAAATCTGCCAAAATATACGGAATACAAAAATAAAATAAAATCAGGAAGTATATATATATATATATATATATATATATATAAATCATTTATTCGAAAATTATAACATAAAATGTTATAAAATCACTACAACACTTCTGGTGTCTTATCAAGTGATTGTGTATTGAACACTCTTTGTTGGTTATTGGAAGTTATTCCATATACACCAATGTATATATATATATATATATATATATATATATATATATATATATATATATATATATATATATATATACATACACACACACACACACACACACACACACACATATATATATATATATATATATATATATATATATATATATATATATTATTAAAAAAACAGGTTCCATTATAATAATTTATTTCACTAGAGCCCTTTTAAAGATATATACACGGAAAATCACCAAAAATACACAAACAAAAACCCACGTATTCACACACACACACACACACACACACACACACATACAAGCGCGCCTGCATACATATAGAAAGCTTGATAGAATGTAAATCCTAAACTGTATGGATTAATGTGAAAAGAATATCTATATATTATTGTCTTATCTGACACCATTCTGGATTTCACTTACTAAAAAAGCCTTGGTAATTCGTTTTACTGATAGTGGAAATGAAATCACACCAAACAGAGACATCGATGACACTATCACAAAGCCAACATTAATTATTATCGACTTAGCGTCACGTGAAAATATTCCATCTCTCTAATCGATTTAACCAAATTATCGGCATAATCAAAGACGTCTTAACACATCCCAATAAGTAACAACAATCAGTCATTATCAACTGATCATTACCAATCAATTTGTATTGAGATTAACTCAAGATGGACGTTCCTATCTTTCTCGTCTATATTACACAAACCTCTCAATATACAAGTTTAGCTATCGTACTTTGTATTTATCCAACGAACAACTGATCAAAACATTTTATTCATGTTGACTGATTGTGTTTTTCACAATCTATAGAGGTTAAATCATTACACAAGACAAATATTTCGGTTGAATATATGATCTTACCATTATGTGAAAAATGTCTAATCAGGTTCTGCAACGTTCTTCAAACAGTAGGAACTGAAGATATATCTCACACACATACATTTTCTTCTTCTTCTTCTTCTTCTTCTTCTTCTTCTTCTTCTTCGCCTCCTCCTCCTCCTTATTCTTCTTCTTCTCCTCCTCCTGCTCCTTCTTCTTCTTCTTCTTCTTCTCTGTCTCTCTCCTCATTCTTCTTCTTCTTCTTCTTCTTCTTCTTCTTCTTCTTCTTCTTCTTCTTCTTCTTTCTGTCTACCTCTCTTTCTTTTTATGTCAGCGTTTTCATACCTATGATAGCGACTTGTTTTGTTAAATCAGTCTAGTGCGTTCCATTCACTTACGTGCTAATATAATTGGGAAATATATGAATCCATTCGTCTCACAGCTACTGGTTAAATAGTATGACTTGTATGAGAAAAACATTATTATTAATACAATATTTAACAAACAAATATAATATTTTTACAATTCAAATATGTTTCGGCTTTAAATAAGCCACAAAAGATTAATATTTCTTCCTTCCCTGCCTGCTGAAAATCAGCGTCTGTTGTTCCAGTTTTTTAGAACTCTCGGGAGCCGTCTGACCCTTCTAACTCTCAGCTTATTGACCTTCTACCTGTTTTGGGGAAACTCTTAGAGCAATTCGGTTTTTTATTTCTCCAGGTCAACTGCTGATATACTAACGATAATTGCAGAAAGTTCTCGAGATAAAAACGGTGAAGACAGAGCCGTAGTTTTGGACATCTCGAAGGCTTTAACACGGTCTGGCATTCAGGTTTTCTTCACAAGCTGAAAAACTACGGTAGCTCTGGGCACATATTTGAGCTAATCCAGTCGTTCCTATCAAATTGTGAAATGAAAGTCATCCTGAACGGCCACTCCTCTACATCTTTTCGTGCTATCGGTTATCCTCCTGAGTTCCATCCTTGGTCCTACGCTGTTTTTAATCATCATTAACGACCTTCCCGATAACTGCTGGAAGTCATCTTCTGTTGTTCCAGAACACTGGTGAACCATCCGATCCATCTAACTATAAGCCTGTTACCCTTCTATCCCAGTTTGTTAAATCCTTTCGGACCTAATCAATGATGAATTGGTTCATCAGCTCTCATCGCAAGGAATTTTCTCAGACAAGCAATAAGATTTTCTTTTCTCCAGGTTAACTCTTAATGTACTAACGATAAGATCAGAAAAAAATTTATCGTGACCTAGATAAAAACGGTGAAGTCCGGGTTATAGCATTGGATATCTCGTAAACTGTTTCACAGGGTCTGGCATTCAAGACTTCTCCACATGTTATGGTATCTCTGAGCACATATTTGAACTGATCCCGTCGTTCCTATCAAATCGTGAAATGAAAGTTATCCTGAACGGCCATTCGTCTACATCTTTTCGTACTATCGTTTGCTCTCCGGGTTTATATGCTTGGTCCTACGCTGTTTTTAATCTTCATTAACGATAACATCAGCTCTTAAATTAGCATCTACGCTGACGAAACAACCATTTACTTCTGCCTCTATACTAAGGCTGACCAATCCGACAAGATCAAAATGGTTGCTGATGTACAAAACGACATCAAGACCGTTGTTAAATGAGGCAAAAGATGGCGTGTCAATTTTAACTTTTCCAAAAATAAACTTCTTTCCATTAATCTGATAGATCCCTTTATGCTTTTCATCAACATGGCTGATTCTGTTCCCTGAACAAGTGACTCGCTGCGTCTCCTCGAACAATCGTTCTCGGTTGACATGAAATGGAAAGAATATTGCCAGGTCAGCTGCTAAGAAAATCGGTTCACTGTCACGGTTCTCTCTCCTGAATCTATTTTGCATACCTATAAATCCACTTTTGTCCACGCTAAGAATATTCCTGCCATATATGGTCCGGTGCTCCAGCGATTTACGTGGAGGTCCTTGATAAGATTTAAAGAAGAATCAGCAATGTTATTCGTCCTTATCCGCCGATCCGGGTTCAGTCCCTTTCCCAATGCCGTAAGGTTGCCAATCTGTTCCTTTTTAATAAATACTTTCACGGAAACTGTTCGGATGAGCTGTTCGCTATGGTAAAGACACTGTATGAATTTAAGCGTAATACTAGACTGGCGGCGAGATCGCGTCAATTTACCGGTGACCTATAGCCATATCTAGGCGTAACTTCTACGCTAACAATTTCTATGCTCGCACATCACGCATGGGGAAATTCCTGCCGGCTCCATGCTTTCCAACCAACCTTAATCTGCAAGAATCTAAATACATTGCCAACGCTATCTACTATCCTTCTGATTGCTCTTTTCTCTTCTTATTGTCAATGTTTCTCTTCCTAATTCGTCCACACCCTGTAACCCCTTGCGTGTTAGTGGCTCTACTGCTCTCCTTGGGGGTGACACTGTTTAAGATATATATATATATATATATATATATGCGTGTGTGTGTGTATGTGTGTGTGTGTGAGTGCGCGCGCATCTGGGTGGGTGCAAATATGTAGAAAATAGGAAAAAACTCGTTAGGTAAATAATCCGAAGTTCTTTAGTATTTTTGTTTTTATTTTTAAAAAACAGTGCTCGATATAAAAGTAGAGCCTAAATAATAATTGTTTTTGTTATGTAGCGTAGGAATCATATTTTTTTTAAATAATCATAATACACACACACACACACACACACACATATATATATATATATATATATATATATATATATACAGAGAGAGAGAGATCAATGGATAAATTGTAGTCTAAATTAGAGAAAAATTAAAATAACACCGACATCCCATTTTAACAGATATATCTAAGAAAATTACATTAAGATATCTTCAAATACTAAAGAGTAAATTCATTCAATGAAATCTCCATTGGCTTTAAATGGGCTCCAAGCGAATTCGGAATCTCCTGCAACTCTTCTGGACGGTTACTGCTGCCATAACTTTTGCATTCATGTAATCTTTGGTATTACAAGTTTTGTTTGCCTCTTGACCTACTGCGCCCCACACATAATAATCAAGTGGTTGCAGTCTGGGGAGTTACGTGGACAGATGTAAGGGGTGATGCAATCGCAGAAATTATCTCAGAGTCATGACTTGGTTCCCCTGCGTGTATGGAATGGTGCAGAATCCTGTTACCAGACACAGGATCTTCGAGAAGCCATCCTCTTCACCTAGCACTACTTCCGCAAGGAACTTTATGTAAAACCTCACTGTTAAGTCTGAGGCCCCGTGGGAAGATGTATGGAGGCAAAGCGTCACCATCACTAGTGATCCATCGAAACACCCGCGTAATCACCAACTATTTCCGACTCATCTGTACTGTCCTTAGATTGTCACCCAAACACTCTGGAATGTTCACACTGTAGCATCAGGCACATACATGACCTAATGTCGTTTCCAATTTTCTGGCGCAGTGAATTGTGTCATTGTGCTCTTTTACCGACAGACAGTGCCCAACTGACCCTACACTACGCTGAAGTCGATAAAATAAAATAAAAAACAAAACGCATGCGTGAAATTGAAAATATAAAATGGTGACAATGTATATATATATATATATATATGATAGACTCTTTAGTCGTTATCGACGTATGAGTGACAGTCAATTCAAGTTTTTATGTTTGTTTCCTATGAGACAACAATCCTGTACGGGTTTTGCAAGCAAATCCACACGAAGGGCATACTGAAAGGTTGACCTTCATATGGGTTGATGAATTAGCCCAAGATTTAGTATTAATTCCTAATTCTCTCAGATAGTTGAAACGATTCTTTTCAAAATTAGTTATACCTCGATGGTAGTTGTTTCTCTAGTTTGCTCAGTTTTCAACAGCAAGTTCGAACTCCTCTATATGGATGTTAGCAGCAATGAAATCGTATTTAAGTTTGTCCTTGAAACGTAACCAAGGACGGCCTACATCAAGCTTACCATGAAAAAGTTCGGCATCCGATCATCACTCATTCTGATGACGTGATCAGCCCATCTAAATTGTGATTGGATCAGAAAGGATTCAATATAACCGAAACCACATTTGATGAAAAGAACAGGGTTAGAGATTTTGTCCTGCCGTGTATAACCGCACATTGAACGAAGACAGCGTTTATGAAAATCATCAAGTTGATTGATGTGCATCCTGATCCATAAAGAAGTGCGGTGAGAATGACTACTCGATTGACACTAATTTTCGTTTTCAGTCTAATCCCATGAACATCCCATAGGCAAAGCTTAAGCTCCCCAAAAGCATTGATTGCCTTTGATATTCAGTTAACTATCTCGTCATTCAAAGAGGCACTTGAATTGACTTTACTTCCTAAGCACGAGAATGATTTCACATACCTCAAATTGTCGATGCCAGCAGTACGATTGGGAACGATTTGAAAGATATGGGCAAGTGAATTTTGTTTTACACCCTTGACCTGCTTAGATGTAGGCCTTGATTGATGGACATCTTCAGTTTTCTTTATGCTTATAGTTAATCCGAATGCGTTGTAGGCGGTGGAAAAACAGATAGACGAGTGCTTGGGCTTCTTTGATTGAGGTGTCCATGATCGCCACGTCATCAGCAAACAAAAGATCACGAATAATGCTTGTTCGAGTCAGCGATTTTGATTTAAAACGTTGATGTTTAAAGAGGCCGCCATTTGTGTCGAATTCAAATTTCACAACCATGTCAAGATCATTAAAAGCATGGTGCATCATGGCCTAAAAGAAGAGCGAAACTAAAGAAGCCATGACAACCTTGTTTTGTGCCATTTCTGAAAACTCATCATTAGAACAGATGCTTTCATTCCTTCGTGAAACTAGATGATGACATTTAGCATACTTTCAGGCATGCCAAACTTTTTGAGTACTTTCCAGAGGCCACCCCTATTTTTTGTATCGAACGCTTTGGTCAGATAACGAGTTCATGGTTCTTCTCGCGAACTTTCTCAGCAACATGACGAAGTGAAAAAAATCATATCAATGGCTCCACGACCTGGACTAAAATCACACTGAGATACGGGATATATGTCGTCAATGAGATTATGCCGATCTACATCGCACACACATACATACATACATTAATACAAATTACATACAACGACAAGCATTCATTGGTTAATTAATCACCACTACGTTATTATAGACAATTTACAAATCGCAGCAATGCGACAATTTTGTAATCGCTCTATTTCCATGTAGTCAATTTTGTGCATTTTTGGGAGAAACGGATCACTGAAGTTTTCTTGTCTCCTCAAAACTCTCTCGCTGATTGGTCAATGCCACCCAAACAGATCGACTGCACGTGAAGAAT